ATTTAGTCATATTTCTAAAGATCTTCCACTGAAAGCTGTCTTGTGCTATGAGCTATATATAAGATATTGGCTAGTTGCTAAGTTAGCAGAAACAGTATAATGATGGGTTATAGTGGTATGTGGGTCAGGAGTACAACATGATTTTAAAACCCTACATTATTTTGTAACGCATGTATGCTGAAGAAGGTTAAGGAAGGCACTGGGAATCCATGTCCACTCTTCTAACTATTGAATTATTGGCCCCAACATATTGAACTATATACTTTATCTGAGATACATAAAGAAATGCTGTCAATGTAGGTTTTTTTCCAAATTCTTCTTTCCTGCTGATCCACTGATTCAAGAGGTACTTTCTCACATGTGCTTGGGACATAGTCTGCCAGGTCCAAGCTGACCTTCTCGAATTGCTGCCATGCTACTTCCTTTGGTGACTGAGACTCAAGACATCCACTTTCCTCCTTTCTATTCAAAAGGATTTCTCTGGAAATTCTGCTACCTTGGTATAAAATCCAAAACTCACATGATCCCTGGAACCTAGGGTATTCCTCACCATTGCCCCGATTGTCACATATCCCGGGATCTTGACATATCTCCACACAAGTTCACAGTGACAATGACATTGACTGTAGCAGGTACAGTAAATGTCATTGTCACTGAGAACTTGCAGGTCTGTTTTACTATTCCCTTGCAGCCTATCTCTATGGAGCTAAGAATGGCTGGTCACCACCATTAGAACTAGAAGGAGGAATATTTTCCCCACCCCTAGGCCAAAGAGTCACAGACTAGAATCCATTTTCTTTTAGGAGAAATATGTTCATTACCCAGTAATATATGTTCTTATTCGCAGTTTCAACAAGACATTAACAACACTGTATGTACAATCTCCTATCTTTTGGACCTCATCTTTGCCTTCTCGTTTATAGAATCACAGAATTTTAGTCCTCAGAGATAATTCTAGCTCAACTTTCTTATTTTAAAGGTGAAGAATTCAAACACCATCATGTTGTTATTTTCCCTTATAATTACACTGAGGTACAACAGACATAAAATAAACTGCACATATTTAAAATGTACAATTTAATAAATTCAGATAGACATATAACCTCAGAAAGCCATGAACAGAAAATAAGCATATCCATCACTTCCAAAATTGCCTCATGTCCCTTTATAATCCCTCTCCCCCATCTCTCCCTGCATCAGCCACTGATGTGCTTTGTGTCACTATAGGTTTGTTTGCATTTTCTAGAATTTTATATGAATGAAATCAAACTATACATTCTCTTTATTGTCTTTCTTTTACGCTGCTTGGTTATTTTTGAAACTCATATATGTTGTATGGATATCAATAACTAACAAGCTTTTTATTTTCTTTTTTTGAGAAGGAGTTTCAGTCTGTCACCAAGGCTGGAGTGCAGTAGCACAATCTCAGCTCACTACAAACTCCATCTCCTGGGTTCCAGTGATTCTCCTGCCTTGGCCTCCCACGTAGCCAGGATTACTCCTGCCTTGGCCTCCCAAGTAGCATGCACCACCACACCCAGCTGATTTTTTATATTTTTGGTAGAAATGAGAGTTTTCTATCCATTTACTGGTTGATAAGAATTGGAGCTGTTTCCTAATAAAGTTGATATGAATAATTACATACAAGTCTTTGCATACACATATACTTTCATTTCTCTTAAATATTTAGGAGTGGAGTGACTAGAACATAAAATAGCTATATGTTTAACTGTTTAAGATATCAATAAACTGTTGTTGAAAGTGGTTCTACTAGTTTACATTTCCTGTCAGAATTGTAAAAGAGTCCTAATCTCTCCACATCTTTGTTAACACTTATTATGGTAAGCCTTTTTCACATTAAGCACTACTTTGCTGTCTAATGGTATGTCATTGTGGCTTCAATTTTACATTTCTTTGATGAAAAAAATTTGAACACATTTTTATGTGTTAATATATTATTCTTATCTTTTATTTTTGGAAGTATACATTGAAATTGTTTGCCTAAATTTTTATGGGGTTTTCTGTTTTCTTAGCAGTGAGTTTTGACAGTGCTTTAAGTATTCTGGATATGAATCTTTTATCAAATATATAATTTGCAATTATTTTCTCTTAGTCTGTAGATTTTTTTCATCCCCATTAGTGTCTTTCAAAAAGCAAAAATGTTTAATTTTGATGTGATCCAATTTATCAATGTGTTCTTTTATGAACCATGCTTTTGGTGTTGTAGCTAAAAACTTTAACCCATGTTTACAGATCTTTGACTTTGCTTTTTTTTTTCTAGAAATTTTATAACTTTAGGTTTTACATTTAGGACTATAATCAATTTTCAGTTAGTTTTGTATATGTTGCAAGATTTGTTCAAAATTCTTAGGGGTTTTTTGCATACGGGTATCCAATTGTTCTAGCACTATTTCTTGAAAAGAATATCCTCTTTCCATTTAATTGTTTTGCACATTGCTCAAAAATCATCAATATATTTGTCTATCTTGACACCAATATTATCTTAAATGCTATTGTTTTAGAAATCTTAAAATTAGTACCAACTTATACCAGTAATCGTCCAATTTTTTTCTCTTCAACGTGACTTTGGCTATTCCAGATCCTTTGCATTTCCATATGAATTTTGGAAATAGCTTGTCAATTTCTAAAAAAAAAAAAGTCTGCTGATATTTTGATTGGAACAGCATTGAACCTATATATTAATTTGTGGAAAATTGACATCCTAATGATATTGAGTTAAACAACCTGTGAACAAAATATCTCCCTCCATTTATTTGGGTCTCCTTTAATTTCTCAAAGCATACACTTCCCTAAGAGAATATTTAACTCCTGGTTCAGAATAAAGCACTTTTGAAAGGAAAGCTTTTGCCTACACATTCATTTTCCATTAATTTTAGTCATTGCTCACCGTTATCATCCTGTTTAAATTATTTAATTTGAGCTGGTTTAGTCAAATCAGACTTCCTGGGCTCACTCTTATGACTAGTTTTTTTTCAGACAGGCTTCCTTTAGCTATTCACCCTCAGCTAGCATTCTCTTGTCATTTATCAACTCATTATGAGAAGCTTTTCTCTGAAATTTTGTGAAGGGGACACAAGAAAGAGAAGAATGGCTAGAACACTCAAGTTTATTGCATTTATTTGTAAAAGTGCTTTAGGTGATGAGTCATGGCTAGACCTCAACCTCATTCCTGAGGGTCTCTTAATCTGAAAAGCCAAAGTTCTTAAGGAATTTACAGGAAACAAGTGAATTATGAATGATCCAGGCCCCTCCTTAGACTCTAGTGGGCCTGTGAGAACTGTAAGGTTGCATTAAAAGTAAACTAAATTTTTAGCAGTCCTGTGAACCAAAGCCAATCTGAGCCAAATGTATACCCTGCTGATTCAGTAAACCCCTTCAAATCCCTGAGTTCACTGTAGTACTTTGAAAAAAAGACTTAGTTTCTCTTCATTAGTATACTACTGATCTACTTTCTGACTGATCAAACACAAAGGCTGTGTGAGGACATTTCTATTTAGCAGAGATGCATTTAAAAAGTTTAGGAAAGCTGGCCAAGCACAGTGGATCATGCCTCTAACCTCAGCACTTTGGGAAGCAGAGGAGGGTTGGATGACTTGAGCCTAAGAGTTCGAGACCAACCTTGGCAACATGGCAAAACCCTGTCTCTACCCAAAACAGAAAAATTAGCTGGTGTGGTGGCAAGGGCCTGTAGTCCCAGCTCCTTAGGAGGTAACAGGATCACCTGACCCCAGGAGGTAGAGGTTGTAGTGAGCTGAAATCATGCCAGAATATTCTAGAATACCAGAATATTCTAGAAAACATTAAACACTTACGTAGGTTAATAAGTTAACACAGCAAGGGTGACAGAGTGCAAGCCCATCGGGGAAAAAAAAAAAAAATTTAGGAAAGTATTGACTGTTTTCATTGAGAAATCCAGTTATCATTTTAAGATATCAATTTTTTTTTGTATTATACCACGGCTGGTACTTTAAAACTTTGCCATAAATGCTCTAAAGCAGAAGTTTAAAGCTGGAGTCACTTATTTCATTTTAACTTGTTTGTTTTTAAATATCCTTTCTTTAACTTTCTTATTCTTGGTGTTTATCTTCTGGTTTAAAGCAAATACTATGTGTTTTTTGCATATAGAGAAATACCTTCATTGTCCTGACAAGCCATTTTAGCTGAAAAATATGGGGCATTTGTTTTTATTCCCAAACATGATTTTTTTTACTGAACAGAAAATTTGGAATTTAAAAAGCATATAGTCACATTTCGTATTGATACTCACAGGTTTTTATATTTTGCTGTGTAATGTGGCATTTAGCTGTTTCATATGGTTTGGTTCAATTAAGCAAACTTTTAAAGAATTTCACTAAAAATGAATAGTGATTTTATTTTGCAAAACTTTTTCTGTTGATGGCCTGGAATACCAGAATATTCTAGAAAACATTAAACACTTATGTAGGTTAATTAATTACTATAACACCAATTCATTATATGAATAACAGTTGAAGTTCAGATGATCTGCTAAATGTTTAACAAAATATTTTTACCTATAATATTTGGATAAAAGTGTGACAGAAAACGTTCATAGCTTTGCTGATATTATATGATTTGACTTTTTAATGACTGGTGTGTCTTTTTTTTAACTGCTTTGTCTAATGAAAAGATTACAATTAAAATAAGTATCTACATCTCATAATTTATCTATAGTTTTGTGCAAAATGTAATCCCTAATAATAGAAACAACAACACAGGAAGTAATCCTCTGTAAATAAGATAACCTTCATTAAATTGGTCATTTTAACTATCTTCAAATGAGAAAGAAAATCTAAGTGAGGTAAATTGGTATTGGGAATTAGTATTGCTTTTATGTCTCTCTCCACTGTATTCCACTTTTTTATGTGAAGAAATAAAGAGTTTTAAAAAATATTAAATTACCTAAGAACAGTTGAGTTTAGTAACATTTTTAAAGGCTAGAATTTGAACAAAAAGATTACCTTTTTGTTAGTAATTTTAGAAATTTAGTGTGTAATGTCATCTTTTCTATCATATTAATACATGCTGTAACCTCGAACAACTGGAAAAGCAGAACCTGTGGAATAAACAAAAGAAACAAAACAAAACAAAAGATAAACAAAAAAAGAAAAATCTTTCTTATAGCGAGCCTAGTGAAAAATTAGCTGAGAAAAACACAAAGACTCCAAGATTGTAAGCTTCATGAGAACAGAGATCTTTATTTCAGGTACTGTTGCATGCAAGCTCCCCAAAAGTGTCTGGTACATACTAGGCTCTCAGTATTTGTTGAATAAACCTGGTGGGCTGTTCAAGTTCTAATAGAAAAGGTATGATTTAATTGCCTATAAAGAACTATGAAAGTTGAGCTACTCAACACAAATAGGTAACCGAAAAACAAGAGAGAGCAAAGAAGGAAGCAAAAAGAAAAAAAATGAGAGAAGATGAAACAGACTTGTCAATATAGAATGTAAAAGTGATGATGCAGGTTAGAAAAAGAAATGAGGACAGAAACATTATACCTTTGACTTTGTACAAGAGTACCAGTGACCGAGGCAAAGAAGAGAACACTAATCTGTGTTTAGGGCAAGAAGCTTCTGGTAGACTGAAGGAACTACAGGAGCCCAACATACACAAGTAACTGTATGTACCTATTTTGGTAGAGTTTGAGGAGAAGGGAAGGGGATCAGGAAGGAATACCTTGCTGAAATAATAATTTAAGTAATACTGACTTCAGCAGCACAAAATGTAATTTAGGAAATGTTCCTCCAAGAGATGTAAGCAACCAGCACACTTGATCAGTCAGGATCGAGGCCCTCCTTTTTGTACGGTATCTTCCTAAGAATTTAACAACATACTTCTATATACTGAACACTGACAAGCTTAATAAACTAAGAATTGCCATTCTGTGTCAGATGTTCTCTTTGAGGCAAAGGCAGAAGCTTAAGAAAGTATGTACCAGCCTTCAAAAAGACTGACAACTTGAAAGAGTAAAAACTTACAAGGAAAATGATGATAAATCTGAACAAAACATATGCAATTCTTGGCCGACTAGGCATTCAATAAACATTATTGAATGATTTAGAATTTAGGATATCAAAGCCCTAAAATATTCAATTATGTGTGTTCTGAGTCAAGTAAAATCATTCACACAATAGAACCATGAACATTTCTTTGAGGATTGTTAAATTTTTTTAATATGTTAGGTAATTTTCTATTGTGTCCTCAATATTTCGAATATTGTGTTATGAAATTCTGGGTACTATTAAAAATCTTCTGGAGAATATTGAATTTTTTTGCCTCAGCAAGTAATTAACCTGGTTAGATTCAAGCTGCAAGTCTTGACCTATCTTGTGTTGGCCATCATTCCAATATCAATTTTGTTTCCAAAGTCTAACATCAATTTAGTTTCCAGTGCTATTCCAGTTGGTCTCTCACACATATCACCCAGGAGCCAATCTGGAACCTAGACAGTGGTCTATGCTGTAAATTACTTCTCAAAGAATTTGCTATATTGACTTCCATCAATTTCATATATATGCAGCTTAGAAGTGAGCTTAGTAATTCATATCTGATTTAAAGAATTCCTTTCTCCATCTTCCTCTTATCTGTGAATTTCCTCACTCTCCTGATCTCAAAGCCTCATTTTTCCTGATGCTGTAAATTTCATAGGCTTACATAGTTCTACTGGATTTCTGTTGGAAATTAAAAATTAAGAACAGCCTTCATGGGCTGTCATAGGCTGGATAGACTAAATAATTTGCATGACTACTGCAAACTAAAAATGTGGAGCCCCTTTCCAAAAATATTCAGAATTTCAAGATAGCAACAGAACACTAAACTAAGTAAGGGCATGCAGCATTTGCAACGTTACTAATCGCAGACCCATGAGGCTGGCACTAGTCATAACTCTACTAAAAATCAGAGTCCAGCTAGGGAAAAACCATAAAGAAGAATGCCATCGTGGAAGTTTGAACATTGGGTATAAACGCCTTTGGCTGATGACAATATTCACATACATTCAGTACTAAAAGGAAGTCTTGCCTGTCATATAATACATATCCATCTTTTTAAAAGTACAGATTTCCATTATTTGTGAATTTCATATTTGCAAATTTGTCTACTCATTAAAATTTATTCATATACCCAAAGCAATATGCATGGATGGTGCTTTTTCAGTCATTTGTAGAAATGTGCAGAGTACTATAAAACTTGTAGGTTCCAACGTGTACATTCCAGCTGAGATCAAACAAGGCCACTCTCTGCAGTCTTGTTTCAGCTCTCATACTGTAAACAAGTGTTCTTTAGTATCACAGTTTTGCATTTTTTTGTTTATGTTGATGATTTTGTTTGAAATGGCCCCTTATTATACCACTAACATGTTGTCTAGTACTTCTAAGCACAAGAAGGCTGTGATGTACCTTTCAGAGAAAATCTATTGATTAGATAAGCTTCATGCAGGCATGAGAAATGGTGAATTCAATGTTAGGTAACAACCATGTATATTAAATCGAACGTCTTTAAATAAAAACACACATAAAAAGGGTATGTACTGATCAGTTGATTAAAATGTGATGAGAAGCTTACAGAAACCTAATTCTGTTTTCCCTAGAAGCAATGGTTCATTATTTGCTAATTTCATGTTCATGGTAACTTTATAGACTACAACTACCATGAATAACAAGAATCATCTATACATGTATAAAGTAGTTACGGAATCTTAAAAAGAATGTGCATTTAGTAATAAAAACTTACTTGAAGAGGTATTCTTTCCTACAAAAGGAGGTAAAGGAAAAACAGTACTAATTACTTATTCTGTGTATATATAACAGAATTTTGATATATAACATATAACAAATCTGATATATAACATACCTTTACCTTACATTTATTGTGTCAGTAAATCTTTACAATACCATTATTATATAAGAATTATTATTCCTATTTCACAGCTGAAGAAAGGAATCCAAGATCTCACTTATCTAAGATTATCATATCTAGTTAATCTTTGTACCAAGAGATGAATGATCTCTATGGACTTTTTCTCTATGATGTGCATGGGGTGCATGGCTATTCTACTCCTCCCTTGGTCCTTGTATCTCCATACACACAAATATTATGATAATTCTCTATAGTAGGTTAATTCGTAGATGGTAATCATCAATGAATGAATGAGACCAGAATAAACAGGCCGTCCAAGCTGGAGGACCTCACCCCCACCACTACAATGTGCATGAGAAGCTGTTATGTAATATCCATAACTGGTTTGAAAATCACTTGCACATTCAATTCAGTTTGGCTTTACAAGCCATGAGATCAAAGTTGCTCGGAGAAGTAGATCAGTAGCTATTTCTTAAGGAGGGGCCTGCATTATGGTTTCAATGAGCTCTGTCTGAACTTGATGTGACCCAGTGCCTAGAGGTTTGAACAAGAGAGTCTTCCCCTGTCACCTGCAATAAAGTATATGACAAAAAGAAGCTGAGTCAAAATTGTTGGGGTTTAACATAAATGACAAAATAGAAATCTGATCATAAGGTAAAGTTTGGGATGAAGACAAGTGGTTGGTGAATATACAGAACAGCAACTACTTTGGGCACTCTGAGTGTCAGGTCAATGCCAAAGTCTACCTATTGGGCTGAATAAGTATTTGCCCACACTCACAGGCTTGGTCAGGATTTGTGTAGAAAGTATACAGCAGGACTAAGCCTATGCATTCCAAGTGTTGAGAACCCCTCAAAGGAAATGAACACAAATGGAAAAATGTCCCTTCATACCAAGGACTGTCCTGAAATCCAAGACCATATTTTATGAGGTAAGTTAAAAACAACATTACTGGTCAAGTGTGGTGGCTCATGCCTGTAATCCAGCACTCTGGGAGGCCAAGGCAGGCAGATCATGAGGTCAAGAGATGGAGACCATCCTGGCCAACATGGTGAAATCCCATCTCTACTAAAAATACAAAATTTAACTGGGCATGGTGGTGCATGCCTATAATCCCAACTACTTGGGAGGCTGAGGCAGGAGAATCACTTGAACCAGGGAGTCAGAGGTTGTAGTTACCAATATTGAGTAAATTAATGGGAAAAACATTATATTATAAAAGTAACTAAATAGCATATCTTACTGCTAACTCCTCCTCTCCATTGTTTTACTGCCTATATGTTTCATAACATTTATAAAGCAGATCCAGGATTACCTCAAAAGGACAAAAAAGAAAAAGTGAAAAAACACTTTTAAAATGAAAAAGAAAATGCAAATAATTATTTTATTCTCCTTTTGGTGGAGAGTAGAACTGAATAATTATGGTGAGATGCTGCCTTTATCTCTACTGGAGGTTGTTGGAGTCACACTGGAGTTAAGAACCAGGGACCACATCCTGGCCTTTGATTTGAAGCTCCTTGTGCATGTTTAATTTCCAACTCCTGAATCGCTTGTAACATTGTGACTTTTCATATGCAAAAGTAAAATTAATAAACCCATGTTACTCTTTATGTTTGGGTTTTTTAGAAGACATACATCAGAGAGAGAGATTATAGTATGCAATCTCTCAGCTGCCAACAGAACACAGATGGGCTTGGGGACAGAGAATGATCCATATCTGCAGGACTGGAGCAATCCATGGGAAGTTTGGACAGAAAATCTGATGCATAAGACAGTGAAGGACTATTGAATGTTCCATGATAGATGTGCTTGTTCTTTTGCCTGCATGCCCTTGAATAAAGACATTTTGATCTCAAGAGCCAACCTGAAAAACATATAATTTAATCTAGTTTTGAAAGAATAGCCTGCTACACAAAAACCGGCTCACAATATTAAAAGATACCAACTGAAATATCAAAGGGCTTTTCTATTTCATTAAATTGACTAACCTATGTGTTTGATATTTCCATTTAATTGAATATTTCTTAAACTCTGTGAACAATGTATGAGCTTGCTGTGATAACTTCTGTGTTGCATATAGGAATTTCAAGTATCTTTGATTAAATCTTATTTGTTGATATCTCACCTTTCAGAAGAGAGAGAGAAAAAGACCATTAACCTGCTTGCTTCTGCTTTTTCTGCCCCATCTCCACTCTTATTCGCAAACTGTGGTTCACACATTTATTTTCATTTTTTAAAATTTTCTCTTGCTGCTGCCATTCTCTTATTACTCATTTTTAAATACCCAGTCCACCTTCTCTTTACTTTTTTTATATGTCTGCTTCAGAGCTCAGCATTTTTAATCGATGACATCACTAGCCTTTAGTTCTGGGAGACTGAATATACAGTCAGACCATATATAAAAATAGAATTCTAACCCACAAACTGCAATAACCAGACCAAGACCAGAGCTTCTATGGCAATCAGCCCAAAATGGTCAGAACCTGATCAATAACAGACAACTTTCACAATTTTTAGCCCCCTTCCCCAACATCCAACTTTGGACCAACTAGAGAAAGGCAAATATGCTGCCTAACCACCCTCACAGGATGCTTTGCTTCCAGTTATTTGGCCTCCAACTTCCCAAGACCAATAGCCTTCAATCAAGCAGACCTGAAGCTGTCCCTTTTTCCCCCATTCTAAAAACCTTCCTGCTCCTCTGCCTGCCTTTGAGTATCTGTAAACACACATACTGATTGTTGACTTCCTTGCTATGCAAGCTCTGAATAAATATCCTTTTCTTGTTCTCATCTCATGCACTTCATTTGTTTCCATAGTTTTTAATTCCAAGAACTTTCCAATTAAAAATTTTTTGAATAAATATCATAGTCTTGGCTTTTCTGTAATCATCAACTCTCTCTAGCTTCTGCCTTCAATTCCACACCTTATCCAGATGCAAGCTAGCTTTTAGGAAGCTTCAGGGGGTATTTTTTATTTTACTACATATATTTTATTTGACTGAAAAATAATAAAAATATCATTTAAACTGGGCGTGCATCAACTGTGGCTCCTAAGCTGAATGATAAAATCATAAATTTGTTTCCATAAGCATAATAGGACATTTAATAATCCTTGTTACATCTGTTGATGAACATATTCTGTAATGTCATCTGGTCTTGTGCCAAATAGAAACTATGAAAATATAATGAGCTTTTTGTCAAAAACTGTTATGTAAGGGTTTGGAAGTTTCTAGTAGTTCAGTGCTTTCTATTCCATTCACGTTTTTGTTGAAATAAAATGAAAAAGAAAATAACCTTGTATATGCATATTAGAACTAACAGGTAAGGGTTTCCATGGATACTTTTATGCATCTGAAGAGTTCATGTGTGGAAAAAGGCATTCATTTCTAATTCTAAGAGACTATTCTGATAAGGAACTCCTGCCAATCATTTTGTCTTGACTTTCTAACAGAATAAAAATAATATATATCATGTGTGTTATGTTGTAAGTCATGAGATAGTTCTATCTAAATAACCTTTTCAATCATCTGGCCTATTCGAGTAATGTCTTGGAATTTTGTTAAAGCTTGAAAAATCTATAAACATTTATAAGCAACTTTTAATGAGTTTAAAGTATTGCTTTATAGATCTGTATGAGGCATCTTTTTTTCTCTCTTTCTTGGTCATCATTTAGGCAGTTTAAATTAACCAACTACCAGTGCTAAAATAAAGTGCTAGAATATCTTTTACTTAAAATAGCTTTTGGAGCAGTCTTATCTTCAATTTTATCTTGACTTGAAGAAATTTCAAATACCTTTGATTGAATCTTATTTATTGATATCCTACCCAAATGAAATTTTCTGCAAGTTTTCCTTTTATCTTTTTGAGAAACATGTCAAAAAAGATGCACAATTTCAGACCATGAAACTGCTAAATTTTAAGTCATACAGTTTTATGAGAAGCTTGATGAGGTTCTATGACCTTTTAATGAGCAAATTCATTCTAAACAATGTGTTTTAAATGTAGCACTATTATTTTACACTGACATGTGCCTAAGCAATTATAAATTTGTGAGCATGGCCTGTAGAATTGTTTTTAAATAAACAGTATAAAAAAATCATTTGATCTTAGTCTGATTTAAGAGTGAACTCTCAAATGTGTTCTGTTTTTACTAGTTAACACAGACCCTGGATAGCAGCAAAGTATAAATCATGATCAGAAAGGTAAACAGAGGCAATTAAAATATCACTCAACTTCCAAAGTGATTAAATAACAAAACTTTGCAACAAAGCTTTCATGATTTATGTTTTGAAATCCATAGATGCAACAGCTTTTTCACTGAGTGCAATACTGTCATGGCACATACATTGTCATGGTACATTATACTATTATAATGTAAGATAAATGGCTGTCAAAATATGTTACATAATATGAGAAGAAACAGAAGTACAAACTATATTTAGCCCTAACATTGGTTTTGGCTTTGGCATAATCAAGATGACATCTTAATGATTACTAGGGATACTATTTATAGAAGATGACTGTTAAAATGTATTTTATTGTGGTATTGTGCACTGCTAGAAAGAGGCTTCCTTTCAAAAGCTGCTTTAAATAATTGATATTTCATAATATGTATCCAGTATGTCATTAAGACTTCACAGAGATTATTATAGTACTTCATTTATATTCAGCATCAAATTATGTAAACTTTCAGCCTGAGGTATTATAAAGTTGCTTCTTGATGATGATTTATTTTGGGAATATAAAATATCCTATTCCTGTATATTCTTCCTCTTCCACATCATTAAGTATTAGTATTTTCCAAAGTTCATCATCATGAACTATCTTCTTGCTTTTCTACCCTGCCCCCTTAACAACCTATCCATTCTAATGATTTTAACCACAACCTGTTCACCTAAAACGCAATATCCTCCACGGAGACTTCCAAATCACTTTTTCATACCCAGACTTTTCTCCCAAGTTTCTGATGAAAGTATCTAACAGCTTACTTAAGCGTTCTGCCTGCATACACATCTTGAACCAAATATGTTTTACTTTCAAACTCAGCAAATTACTTCAAAATCTATTCCTTCTCCAAGATATGGATCTGAGTGTGGAGTGGGCCTATGGGCCTCTACCTCATGGCTCAATCACTGGTTTTGAAGTACCATGAGTGTTAGATCCCAAGACCCTGCCAAATTTGCTGCTCCTCTCCAGCCCCATGACTCCTGCCCTAATTCACACACCCATCATCACTTTCCCAAATTATTTGAATAGCTCCTGATGTATGGGCTAGACTTCAGGACTGCCTTCCAATATTCATTCACTGCAGTAAGAATAATCTTTCTACAGCACAAGCTAATTTTTTTTTTTCTTAAAAATCTTTCACTTTGCTCTACAGGACAAAAATCAAACTCCTTAACATGTTATGTGGGGTCTATGATGGTCTGGTCACAGTGATGCCATCCTTTGAAATTTAATCACCAAAAAGTTCCTTCCGCATATAAAATATTCTCCGGTCTGAACTTTAATACGCCTTGTTTTTTCATGCTTTCAAGCTTGGGAACATTCTATTCCTTTGCCTAAAATGTCCTTCTGACCATCGCACCCTCATCCCACCTGCCAATATCTACCCATGAGATTCCCCCTAATCACTAAAGACAATGTTAGCATCAACTTTTCTGTGAGCAAAACAGGATCCACTGTATTTACTCCCACACCCCAACATAGGAACAAGTCCTTGATTCTACAAGTTAATAATCTGTCATGCACACATCTAGTACAACAGGTGTTACGCTGGAATACAAGTACTTTCTGGCATACTAATTTCTCCACACAACACTCAGACCACTTTAAGGAGAGACCACTGGAATTCAGGTCATGAGATTTGAATTTGAAGACAAGTTTTGTCAATTCATTAGTGTATCACTTCAAAGCTGCACAAGAAAGATAATAAACTATAAGAATTACATGTTTTTAATACCTAAACAATTAAGAAGCTCTTTAAGTCAAAAAAGTCAAGATATTCAGTCAAATACTTTCATCAACTGTGAAA